GGGGGCAGCGGGTCCACGCCCAAAGGGGTCCCGGCTGTGCCGGCACGGGCAGTGTCACCCCCGGGACACACACCCCCCCCTCCGGGAGAGAAGGAGTTGGGAGAGAGCCCCGAGGGTGGGGAGGGACAAACCCCCCAGCCCCGGGGGGGGACACACAGCGCGGCCCTGACACTCCCCGGGACCCCCAAAATCCAGGCTGCGTCACCGGGGCTCAGGAGGTGTCGAAGGCGCCGCTATTGCGCCCTGACCGAGGCAACGGCACCCAGGGTGTCACGGGTGGCTTCCGTGGCCTCCCGGCACTGTGGGCTGTGTGGGGTCGAGCGGGAGCCAGGGGCGAGGAATGGGAAAAACCCCGTAAAGCCCCGCGTGGGCCGTGGGGATGGAGCTGGGGGCTCATCCGCCTCCGGAGCAGTTGGGCAGGGAAGCACTAAAGCCACCCCGAGGTCCCTGCAAAAGCCACAGGGAGAATTTCAAGGTGGGGGGACGTGCCCGGGGACACCCATGACGGATGGAGGGCAGGAAGCTGGGGGACACGGGGATACGACCCGCTGGCAGAGGGAAAGGGAACTGGGAAGGCAGCGGCAGCCTGCGGAGGCTGGGGCTGGCGGCACTGCGTGTCCCGGCTGGGTCGGTCTCTCCCGGCCACCGCAGGGTGCTGGTGGGTGCTGCTGGGGCGTCCCCGCTGCCAGGCTCAGCACCCGCTCCCTGCCTGCTGTCACTGGCCAGTAGCTGTGCCAGGTGGTCCCTGTCCGGTGAGGCTGTGCCGTATGGGCCATGTCCCCCGTAGCTGTGCCATAAGGTCCTTGTCTCCTGTAGCTGTGCCATACAGTCCCCGTCCTATGGCTGTGCCATGCAGTCCCCATCCTACGTAGATGTACAGTAAGTTCTGTGGCCTCCGTAGCTGTGCAGTACAGTCCCCATCCTATAGCTGTGCCATAAGGTCTGTGTCCTCCGTAGCTGTGCTATACAGTCCCCATCCTATAGCTGTGCCATAAGGTCTGTGTCCTCCGTAGCTGTGCTATACAGTCCCCATCCTATAGCTGTGCCATAAGGTCTGTGTCCTCCGTAGCTGTGCCATACAGTCCCCATCCTACAGCTGTGCCATATGGTCCACATCCTGCGTAGTTGTGCCACAGAGACCCTGTCCTCCCCATCTGTGATGTATAGTCCCTGTTCAACATAGCTGTGCCATCTGGTCCCCACCCTACGCAGCTGTGCAATGTCATCTCTGTCCTACGTAGCTGTGCCATACAGTCCATGTCCTTTGTATTTGTCCCATACAGTCTCTATCCTATATGGGTGTGCTATATGGGCTGAGTCCTATGTAGCTATGCCATATGGTCCCCATCCTGAGTAGCCGTGCCATATGGTCCCTGTCCTATTTAGCTGTGCTATATGGTCCCCATCCTACATAGCTATGCCATACTGTCCCTGTCCTATGTAGCTGTGTAATGCAGTCCTTGTCCTAACTGTGCTATACGGTCCCTAGCCTATGTAGCTGTGCCATACGGTCCCTGTCCTACGTAATTGCAATGCAGTCCCTGTCCTATGTAGCTGATCTATACAGTCCCTGTCATACATGACTGTGCCTGTATGGTCCCTGTCCTGTGCAGCTCTTCCATATAGACCATGTCCTATTCATCTGTGCCATACCACCCCCAACCTATGCAGCTGTGCTATATGGTCCCTGTCTTGCCTAGCTGTGCTATATGGTCTCCATCCTGCATAGCTGTGCTATACAGTCCCCGTCCTGCCTAGCTGTGCCACACAGGCCACGTCCTGTCCGGCTGCTGTCTCTCCCCTTCAGGGACCCGCGGGGCTGGGGGTGCCCACAGTGGGCGCAGTGCCAGGGGGCTGGGGGTGCCCACGGCGGGCGCAGTGCCGCAGGGCCTCGCAGGCACGAGCAGGCTTCCAGGGGCAGGGGGCTTTGTGCTCCCCTGGCAGGGACTGATGCTGCTCTCCGCAGGGCGAGCACGGTGCTGGGTTGTCCCTTCCTGTCCCTGGGAGAGGCTGCTCGGCGCCCAGCTGACTTAGAGAGGGGCAGGAATTGCGTGGCCTGCGTCAGCCCCAAAACCTCATCCCGTCTGCACCATTATCTGAGCCCCGATGCCACTTCCGCATGGTCCAACAGCCAGCGATGGCTCGGGGGGGGTGTGTGTGTGTGTGTGTGTGTGTGTGACAACCCCCCCTCAAGTTTGCAGTGCGGGGTCCATCCCCATTCCTGACCCGTGCTGAGACCGGCCAGCTTGTTACACAAGTGCCGAGGCAGCGCAGCTGGATGCTGGGATGCTGGAGTGGCGCTGCCTGTCCCATGGGGCATCCTGCGCCGTTGCAGCCACCCTGGCTCCGCACCCCCCAGCCCGGCACCCCCGGGCATTGCTCTCCACCCGGGGCCTTTGATCTGCTCCCAAAAAAACCAGGCATCGCCCTCCTGGCCCCGACCCGCCGGGGAGCAGCGGCGGCACCTTCTTCTGCTCCCTGGTCTTGGCTACACTGGAGTGAAGGAGAGGGCGGGCGGCTGGAAAAACATAAAGTGGATTTTCTTTCTTTCTTCCTTTTTTTTTTTTTCCCTTTCCTGGAGTACAAAAATAACAGTGCCCTTATCTGATCGCCCCGGGCGGCCCAGCTGAGCCCCCTTATCTGATCCTGACATAATGCTGGAGCCCGCTGCCTTCCCCAGGGACTGACGGTGCCCGGCTGGCACCGCTGTCTCGTATCCCCTCCACCAGCATCCCTGCCCCGCGCTGGGGGCGAGCCTGGCCGCGGCCCCCTGACCCTGCCTGACCCAGCCTGTCCAGATAAGCGGCTGTTTATCTTCCTCCCGATGCTGCCGGGCCGGTGCGCAGGAGCGGAGGGGAAGAGGGAAGAG